GATCAATTTCTGCTCAGCCTTCAAGGATCAGTTCAGACATTTCTTTTTCTTTTTTGCAAGTTCCCTACTTACTTTTCCATTTCCTCAAACAGACTGTGGGCTTCTAGTCTATCTTGTTCAGTTATACTTCCAACACCTAGCAGAGTCCCTGGTACATAGTAGATATTAAACACATATTTGTTGAATGAATGAATAATGGTGAGTATGAGAGAAGTGTAAGACACAAATGTTCCCCCCAAGGCTAGCCAGTTAGCTCGCTTGGTTAGAGCATGGTGCTGATAACACCAAGGTCCAGGAGAAATAAGCACACAATAACATACATTAAAATGTAAACTGTAGTATAGTTTAGGCCTAGGAAAAAAAACACTAAAAGAAAGGGATAATGCTAAGAAGTAAATCAAGGAAATAAAGGAAAAATAAATAGTAGATTAACCCCCAAAAAGGCAGGCAAGGAGGAACAGAGAAATAAAAACAGAAAGGACAAACAGAAAACGAACAGTAAACTAAGAGATTTAAACCCAACCATATCAATAATTACATTAAATATAAATGTACTAAACATTTTAACTAAAAAACAGAGATTGCCAGACTGAGTATAAAAGCAAGATCCAATGACATGCTGCCTATGAGAGGTGTATTTTTAAATATAAAGATGCAAATAAGTTGAAAGTAAAAAGATGGGAAAAGAAAATATTTATGATCTTAAAACAGAAAAGAACTCTTAAAACAAATTCAAAAAATAAGTCATAAAATAAAAGCTTAATAAATTCTACACTGAAATTATAGATGTCTGTTAATCAGGTGACATAATTTTTTAAAAGGTTAAAAAGAGGTATAAATGTGATCCAGTTAACTACAAAAATTACTATAAAGAATTTATAAACAATTCTCAATACAACAATAACAAAAAGAAAAACAATCAATTTAAAAAGTGGGCAAAAGATATAAACAATTAACTGATGAGCCAAATAGACACACAAAAAATGCTCAGTCTCTGAGTACCAGGGAAGTGTGAATTATAACTGCAATGAAAATAACAGCTATGTCTCATTCTTCAAATACACAATATTAAAAAGCCTAAAAATTGCAAGGCTTGGCACATGTATGAAGCACAGCAGCCCTTAAACCCTGCTAGTGGGAATATAAATTGTACATCTAATTTGTAAAGCAATTTG